GAGAGAGAGAGAGAGAAGTAAGACTCCGAAAAACAAACACGTGCAGCCATATTTTGGCCCGACCTATCAGGCAGCAATGTTCAAAAAATCACGTGACCGTACGGCAAGCCTTTGTAGACTTGCGGACGGCAAACTACAAAAGCAAGGTCTGATCTCAGATTAGGATGCCCCAAGAATCTCAATACAATGGATCCTCGAGAGTCAAATGCATCAGAAGAAAGAAAGGCGTCTAAAGCAGGCCATGTAGTCATGCTGATAATTCGGTGTCGGGGCTTGCGTTCCCTTAGCAACTGAAGAAGCAAGTCGCATAAATCAAAGGAAGCTGATACCATTTCTGCCTCCACCCTTCTTGCTAGATTTTGTCTTCACCAAACAGAATGATAAGTTGATATTTTCGGATGCAACAGGAGATGGAACTTACCGCAACCAAACATCTGCCTTCCACGGGGATCAATCACATGCATCTCATCATTCATCACATCCTGCATCCCAGCTATCAGGGCCAGTGGCAAGCGAACAGTCTACAACCGATTTCAAATATTGCCTTGATAAACCGATATGGCATAGAAGTGCTTTAGCGACTAAACCTGAAAACGGACATCACCACACGATATTGTATCATCTAGTATTTTTATCACATTTGAACAAGTGTGTATAGTTGATTTTAAAGGTGATCCAAAAATCCGAAAGATTAGGTGAGTCCTCGCCAAGAAACCCGGGGGGTTTGAGTTTCTTGGCGAACGGTGGGCCCCGGATCCAGAGACGACTGTGATTTTCTAAGCGACCTTGAAAAGACCATAGGGATGACAACGTCCTGTGATCTGGGTTCTCTAGTGACATTACTGGAGCCTTTTGACTTTATGAAGGGCGCTGCAGATGGGTCTTTTTGATTCAATCGATGCCAATCCATGTGACTGCTGACAGCACCCAAAAGAATCAGTTGATATGCCGATCTTTACTACCAATTGCTGAAAACTTTCATGCTGGAAATTTGTGGCTGAAAGAAGGGGGTTGCTCGGCAATGATTCCCGGTCATGCTCGGCAGTCACCGCCACCTGGGGAATTCCCCGGCCCCCGCGTTCCTTTTTCCGACGCAATTTCCTCCACAGATGTATATCTGCACCCGATTCCAGAACCTCCAGAATTTCTGACCGCAGAAGCACGGAATCAAAATCTTTGTATCACATACCCCAAAGCGGTTCAAGGCCAGGTGCGCACGTTTCCAGCCTCTACACGCTACAGATGTTGTTGTCGAAAACATGCCCCTGTTCCGGTATCTTTCAGATTTCCTAGCGGGGCACACAGCTATAAATTATATATCCAATTACCGGATAGAACTAGGAATGAGTTCAAGCCAGGAATGACATCGTCAGCTTTCGTCTTGTAGCCCTTTGGGGGATCAATACTCGGAGATTATCCGATGTCGCGACGGCTGGAAAAACGGCGACCTTTTTTTTTAGCTATTCCAGTCTCATTATGAGGATTTTTTGCTAGGACCAGGACAAGCACAGGCACAGGGGAAATTATCAAACCTGTAAGATGTCGAATCATTCGATGTTCCACACAGAGATAGTTCTTCGTGTACACAGTCAAGCAGAGCCGCCCCAGCGACTTGACCCCAGACCTTGTGCCAATCCCAAATCTCCGCAAAACAATTTTCCACCAATGGCGACGAGTTCCTAATTCTTACTGACAATTTCGGGCCTTTCAAGCAAGGCCCTTACATTGTGTTGCTCATCTTAAATATAATTACCGGTCATTCTAGAATACCCCTTCGACCAACTACACCAAACAATACGGGAATTGAATGAGAAACTTGGCACTTCGGTATGGCCATCAAGAATGAAAACTTCCCCGAGGTCCTGGTGCCGCAGAGTGAACTTGACGTCCAGCACATAGAGGAGAACCTCAAGGTGTCGGTGGCAGACAAAATAAACCAAGGAGAAGATGGTGAACTTTATCTTGAAGCAATTCGGAGGTATCCTAATGACGACGCCATTGAAAAAGAGGCAGAGAGGAAATTGAAACGCAAACTTGACATGCGTCTCATTCCACTTCTTGGCATATGCTACTTCTTCTATGTATGTTGCTCGTTTCAGGCTCGCCTTGTTGATGTCACAGCTAACATCGTCCGTCTCCAACAGTATGTCGATAAAACAACACTTTCCTACGCAGCAATCTTTGGTATCAAAGATGACCTCAATCTATCCGGTTCAGAATACTCGTGGTTGTCAAGCATTTTCTATTTTGGATGGTTAATTTGGGCAATCCCATCCAACCTCCTTCTGCAGCGGAGTCGGATGGCTTGGTATCTTGCCTTCAATATCTTCATGTGGGGTGTGGTTCTCATGTGTGAGGCTGCATCGAAGAGCTTCGGCGCACTTGCGACACTCCGAATCATTTCCGGTGCGTTTGAGGCGATTGCTGACCCAGCGTTCATGCTCGTCGTCTCTACTTACTATACCCGTGCCGAGCAGCCTTGGCGTATCTCGGCATACTATCTGTGGAACGGCATCGGTACTGCAGGCGGTGGTCTTATTGGTATGTTTCGTTAATTGTTGTACAAAATTGAGTAGCAAGCGCTTATTTTTATGCCGAGGTTATGGAATCGGCAATATCAAAGGTGGCCTTCAATCCTGGCGCTACGAGTTCCTTATAATCGGTGCTTTTTGTGCTGCCTGGGGAATATCATTGGGTCTACTGTTGCCTAACTCGCCAGCAACACTTTGGGGTTTCAATCATGATGAGAAGCTCATGATGATTGCGCGACTGCGATCCAATCAGACAGGTATTGAGGGACGGAAAGTTAATTGGCGTCAGGTGAAAGAGGCGTACCTCGATTATAAGACTTGGCTATTCACCATCTTAGGCTTTCTTGCCAACATTCCAAATGGCGGAATCTCCAACTTCTCTACTTTGGTCATCCAAGGCCTTGGGTTCGACACACTCAATACTGCACTTCTTGGTATTCCCCAAGGAGTTATTGTGGTCGTTTGGATTTTCCTTGGAGGATACGCCAACCAGTACATGCCGAAGAATAGCCGTACCCTAGTCTGTGCGCTATTTATGGTCCCGACCATTGCGGGCGCACTCGGCTTCTTGCTTGCTCCCGATAATGCATACGTCGGCCGGCTGATCTGCTTGTAAGTCTTTCAACTAATGTTTGTGATTAAAGAGCAGTCCCTCATTTATCTCACAATTTTTTTTAGCTATCTCACTGGGTCCTATCAAGCCTCATTTGTGATAACCCTTTCCCTTGTCACCTCCAACACTGGTGGTCAGTCCAAAAAAATGATCGTATCGGGCATGATCTGGCTTGGAGCATGCATCGGTAACATTGCTAGTCCCTTCTTTTACCAATCCGAGCAAGCGCCGGCATACCCCCTAGGGATTGGATCTCTGCTTGTTGCAAACTGCCTTGAACTTATGCTTTTCTTTATACTCCGCTACGCCTTTATATGGGAAAACCGACGAAAGGAGAAGATCCGCCAGGAATTGCGGGAGAGGGGGAGCGAGGATGAACTTATGGCCGATTCCACGGCCTTTGCAGATCTGACTGATAAACAAAACCCAAATTTTGTGTACGTTTATTGAAGGAAAATTTGTCACGATACGACTCTGCGATTGAATGCGAAGGGGCAGAGCGGCCAAAAGGTCAATGCCTGATTTTTCAGGGTGGATGTCTGACATTGCCTTATTTTAGACTGGCAGAAATTGAAATACATGAATTACTAGGATGGTGGGCTTAATAAGCAAATTATCTAAGTTCAAAAGAATGAAGCTACTCCCACTATGTAAATCCTAGAATCCCCTATTTTCTCGGCGTTGAAGCCTTTCACTTTATATTTATTTCCCTCTCCTCTCTGTTACGGATCTATCTGTCACCAACCAGTAACTAGTGACCCACAAGCCCCCGAACTGAACTCTGGTAGACCCGGTCCTGAGCAGACCGCTACCACCG